GGCATAACTCCTGTTTGCGCAAGAGTTCTTGTGCAAAAAGTGTGTGTGGACGCTCAACAGGTGTTTCTTGAGCAAAAAGAGCTTATCACAAAAAGCACAGGTGTTCTGATAGAACTTTCTTGTGCAAGAGTATCCATGCAGTGTGGATGCTCTCTTACACAAAAGCACATTGTGATGTGCTTTTGAGGTGTGGATGAGCTTTTGCGCAGGAAGTTTTTGCGAACGATCTCTTCCACAAAAGCCTTCTTGTGCAAAAACCTGCAGTGTAGACAAAGCCCTACAGTAGAGCACCCATAGGGACACTAAGGCTATGTCTAGACTGCAGGCTTTTTTCAGAATAGCTCTTCTGAAAAAACTTCTTCCGAAAGAGAGCGTCCATGCACAAAAGTGCATTGAAAAAGCTGTCTGCTTTTTCGAAAAAGAGCATCCACACTGAATGGAAGCTATGTCGCATTTAAGCTGTGATTACTATGGATGGAGTGGCCACCGGGGCACCTGTGCTTTTTCCTCTTTCCTCGTCTTCGAAAAGAACGCCCTCTTCCCCGTCCACACGTGCCTTTTTCCAAAAAAGCTCTTTCGGAAAAAGGCTTCTTCCATGTAGAAAGAGGATTGCCAATGCCGATTTACTTTCGGAAGAACGCGATTGCACTGTGGACATAACTCAGGTTTTGTCAGAAAACGGCCATTTTTCCAACAAAACTCTGTAGTGTAGACACCCTAAAAGAAGAAAGCGGAGCTACTGGCTTTGTTTAGCAACGTTCAGCAGAGAGCATATGCCTCCCTCTCAGTGCAGTGCTGCAGCCACACTTGTTTTTGTCTTATAGCTAAACGGTTCAGAGAGACTTTATGACCAGCTGGCAGAACAGATAGGCTACGTCTACACTGGCATGATTTTCCGAAAATGCTTTTAACGGAAAAGTTTTCCATGAAAAGCACGTCTAGATTGCCAGGATACTTTTCCTCAAAAGCACTTTTTGCGGAAAAGCGTCCGTGGCCAATCTAGACGCGGTTTTCCGCAAAAAAAGCCCCGATCGCCATTTTCGCGATCGGGGCTTTTTTGCGGAAAACAGTACTGGGCTGTTTACACTGGCCCTTTTGCACAAAAGTTTTTCGGAAAAAGACTTTTGCCCGAACGGGAGCAGCATAGTATTTCCGGAAAAGCACTGACTATCTTACATGAGATCGTCAGTGCTTTTCCGGAAATTCAAGTGGCCAGTGCAGACCGCTGGCAAGTTTTTCCGCAAAAGCAGATGATTTTGCGGAAAAACTTGCCAGTCTAGACACAGCCATACTGAGAGCAGAGAATGTTAGCAGTACAGAGAATCAGGAATACTGGAAGCAGAGCACAAAGGATGTTATCAAGTTGGCCGTTTTGCCACCAGAAACCGCCTCCAAATGTCTCACTGCAATGCTGTAGCAACCCAAAGGAAACTTTTGCTGCAAGGAGTCAAGCAACTGCTGTGCAAATAAGTGCATTATCTATCATTTTTTTATCAGCCATACTATGGCTCATCTGTAAGAATACATCAGAAACACCTTATTTGCAAAAACTAGTGTGCAAGTTATACTGCATTTTACATTCTTATACCACTTTTTCTTAGCATATAAATTATTGCCCATGATAACAAGACTAACATTTGTAGTAGGTCAGGACAGTGCTGTAGTAAATTTAGGGTTGACTGGTGTGGTGTCCTGACAGATCTCCTACTCTGTGATGATAAACATTCAGCTCTGTGCCTTTTTGTACGCTTCCTTAGTAGATTATGCCAGCTTTGGGCAGGTAGCTGGCATAATTGACTTCACAAGAGCCCCCAAAGTCTACAGACTTAGATAAGATACGAAGGCACTCAGGGGCCAGGCTTATTGTTGAATGAAGTACATTAATAATCATCAATAGCCAGCTGGTTTCTGAGCCTCTGTGTGTTTGTACCCGTGACAATGGACTCAGCTCAGTCAATACTATGGATTTTACTATTGCCTCCCTAGGCCGGCCAAAGAGGTACCCGAACATTTATAGACCGAGATAAACCATCTATGATATACACTGTACGTATCATCTTAATATCACATCTGGTACCTCCCCCTGCACTTTCCTCCAAACATTCACTACCCATTGTTATGCTTTCGCTCTTGTTGTTTCAAACTACTTTACCATGTACTAAGTTGGGGTGTCCTTGTACTGTCCTAGTGTTTACATATTCGATGTGCTTTTAGCAGTGCTAGCAGTTCTATTGCCGAGAGACACTGACTTTCAGGCAACCGTCTGCTTTTGACACGGCCTGTCCGTTACTCTTAGTATAACTTTTGCTAACTTTGGTTCAAACACCAGGCTCATGCTTCAGGCTCTTTCTTTCTCCTGACCTACACCATTAACAAAGAAATCATCCCACTCCCAGCATACTTTCTTTCCCTCTAGGGCATGGGAGTGGCTAGAGCCAAGGGAGAGGAAGAATGTGAGGGGCGGGGGAGGATGGTTGGTTTCCAGGGCAAGGAGTCAACTGGGGGCAACAGGGCACAAGAGTGAGAGGCTGGCTGGTCAGACCGCAGAGTGAGGAGCTGGACAGGATCCCCTCTCTCTCTGCTAGAGCTGGGATAGAAGCCACTTCCTCTTTCCTTTGCTCCTTTCTTCCTTGAGCTCTCCCACTTGAGCTACTGTATCTGGCTGGACATGGTCAGGTCCCACTGATTCCTCCCTCCCCACCCACAGATACAAAATTAACATGTTAAAAATCAGTGATTGACACCCTACTTCTAACAACAGAAAGATACATTTTTAATAAATGTATTTGCTATAGAAAAAAAAAGGACAAAAGTCAGATTATACAGGATTTCTGTCCCAGCTTTATTTTCCCAATTCTACCTTTAATAAAAGACTGAAACAATTAAAACATACATAATGATACCATTTACAGTATATACATTGTTTCTATATTTGTTTAGTTGAACAAGATAATTACAACAGCATTGCCAAACAGAAGGGCAAAAGGAAGAGAAATCACTGGTGTAAAATTTAGACTAAGCTGTATGCCTATATTACTGGAACTAATAATAAGAAATGTGAAAGGCATGGAGGGTCACGGGCACACTGAACAATGAGAGGAAACATGTCTGGCATTTCACAAGTTAAAAGTTAAAGACCTAATCCTGAAAAGACCTACATCAGGTCCTACGCTGATAAGCGATAAACGTACACCGGTAGATTGAGTGGTTAACCATTAATGCTTCTGAAAATGATTTTTTGATGTAACTGTCATTTTTACAGTGCAAATAAAGATCTATGGACTTCAGGTGATTCACTGCTACAATATAGTCTACTTACTTAATATACATCCTAGAAACATTGCAATAAGAGCTCAAACATTTTATTTTTTATAATTTTTAATTTTCTTACCTAGAGGATACATTTGGACTCAACTCTAGTAAGGCTGTATTTCTTCCTGGAAGAATCTACTAAAATACCATTACCTAACTACTAAAGCCTTATTTAAATGTTCATAGATTATTTTTGTCACCCTGTCCTGCTTCACCAAACACTACTTCCTTTCAATAATTTTTGGAACTAGCATTTATCCATAGCTCATAATTTTGGCTATGCTATCTTTTAACCTTAAGGTTGTGTTGCATTTTACTTTCAAGTTATAGAGCCCTACATATGCTTAGTTTCAGTAGTATTATTTAAAACAAACTAACACGGGAAGCACAGATAATGACTACTGAAAGACAATTTGCTAGTGTTATGATTTTAAAGCTGATTTCTTGCTCTAGAAGATTTTTTAACAGTACTGTAGTTTTATAGTAAAATATAAAAATATAATACTAACTTGTTCCCTCATCTATTTAGTATTGACATTACCACTGAATGGAAACTTTATTTTGAAATTAGAACATCTCTCTTTTATAAGCGTATATAAGACTATTTTACTATGTACAGATAATATACAGATTACCTAGTCCTAAATACAATTGGTATGTAGTCCTGAAACAATATACAGTGGTCTTGGATTCTATTCAAAAGTAAACAAAATCTTTGAATTATAAACAAGCAATATACAGTGTACATTTTGTTTAGTTTTGAATAAAATCTGAGACCACTGTATATTGGACATCTCAGGTATCTGGTATTCTCTGAATTTTTTTACCTGACAGGAGGTGAAAATACCGGACTGTCCACATGAATACCGGACACTTGGCAACCCTATTCCTCCCTAGCTTCACAAATCCAGGCAGAGTTCCTCTTGGTGGTATACATTGGCTCCCTGGACAGCTTTGAGGAGCAGTGTACACCACCAAGAGGAACTCTGCCTGGATTCGTGAAGCTAGGGAGGAATAAGGTTGCCAGGTGTCCAGTATTCACGTGGATAGTCTGGTATTTTTGCCTCCTGTCCAGTAAAAAAATTCAGAGAATACCGAACACCTGAGATGTCCAATATATAGTGGTCTCAGATTCTATTCAAAAGTAAACCAAATCTTTGAATTCTACAAGCATAAGCTTGTTAACATCTCTATTTGCTTTTCTGAAGTAGCACCAAATAATTTTAAAGATTTTCATCTTTAACCTCTCACAAAATTAATATAGTCAGAGTGCACTAAAAGTGCAGAATCTTATTTACATTAGGATTGAAGAAATGAAACGTTATTCACATTAGAATCACTGCTGCATCAAAAGAAACTTGTTGCCATTCATGTGCATTATGAATATGGGAAAAGAATAGTTTCCAATTGTTCAAAAAAAGGTGTTTTCATTTCCACTAAGATTTTATTACATGATGAGGATATTAGGGTATGTCTACACTAGCCCCCTAGTTTGAACTAGAGAGCCTAATGTAGGCATTCAAAGTTGCAAATCAAACCCGGGATTTAAATATCCCGCGTTTGATTTGCATCTTCCCAGCTGGTCGCCATTTTTGAAATTTACAAGTCCGGACTAACTGCCCGTGTCTACATGCGGCAGAGACCCGGTAGTTCGAAATAAAGCCCTAGTTCGAATTACCTGTTAAACCTCATTCCAGGCAACTTTGAATGCCTACATTAGCCTCCCTAGTTCGAACTAGGGGGCTAGTGTAGACATACCCTTATGTAAAACAAGATTAGAAAATAGTTAACCATTTTACAGTGTCAACTGTTTTTGCATATACTTAATTAAATCTACTGAAAGAGTAGTTAAAGTATATATTTCTCAACTGAATCCTTACAGTCTTACCAAAACTCATTTAAGCTAGAGTTACTCAGCAGTTGATAACAGATGGCAGAACCACCATATATATCACCTCCATCAGGAATTTTGTGCATCTGGTTAATCAGATAACTGACTAATCAGGGGAATAATAATAATAAAAATATTAATAAGCAAGCATTTATAGCATCCAAGGGTCTCAAAGTGCTTTATATAGGAGGGAAACAGGAATATTTTGCAGATGAAAAAAATGAAGGCACAAGGAACAAATCTAGAATGATTTCACTTTAGACAGTGATCAAATCATTGGGATGTGAAATCTAAAAATCTAGGATTGTTGCTATCCCTTTTCTGGACTTGAGAACCCTTTTCTATTGGTTAATCAAGTGGTTCCCAACCTTTTTTTTTTTTTTAATATTGCAGACAGGCAAACCCATTCATAAACTTTTGGCAGACCACTAATACTTTATTGGCATATTTCCATATTCATTATGCAAATAATTGAATATGCAACTGTGCCAATAAAATGTTACCTGTCCGCCAACCCACTCACCCCATCTTGTCACTGCACATCCCTCTACCTCCAAATCCAGAACCCTCTGACCCCATCCAGCCAACCCTGGTCTCTGTATTATTAAATCTGCCAAACCCATCATCTGATATCCCCTGTATCCCACTAACCCCATTATCTCACAAGTCTGTCACCCCAGTGCCCACCGTCTCCCACTTCCCAATACCCCACTGCCGACTTCCTTTTGTCAACCACCTCTGTCTTGCCTGGAGCCTGTCCTGCATCTACTGGCGCTGCCAGTAGACCCCTGACAAACTAACAACCTCTCATTTCCCAGATCCTGCCCCACCACTCCTGCCCCACTACCCCCGGTGCCCCTTGCTCCACGACTGCCTGTTGTGCCAAACCCTGCCCCTACCCCACTGACCCTGCAACTGCCTGTTCCACAAGTTCTGAGGTCCCTGATCCTGCTCAGACACCCTCAGATCTGCTGCCCCCTGAGAGAAACACGAGCTGCCCCACACCTGACTCCATAACCAGTGACCCACTGCAACCCATCACCTCTTGCCCTTTGACTTCTAACCCCTGCCCTCCCTCAGCTCCATTCCTCCCCCCTTAACCAAGCCCCGGCCAAGTCCCTTGCTCCCCAGTGCCTAATACCCTTTGACCCCTATAGCCCTACATCCCATGTACTTTGACCCTTTAACCTCTGATACCTACAGCCCATCCCAATACCCTCTTACCCTGTGACCCCACCACTTCCTCAGCCAACACCTCTTTGCCCTTTGACTTCACCCCACCTCCCAAACTCCCCAGGGCGAGCCTGCCCCCTCTAGGGAGCGTGGCCGTTGGGGGAGCAGCCATTGGTGGTGTGCGTGCACCCTCCACCTTGCCCCCTCCCTCCCTAAGCGCTTCTCATGCCTTGATTGGTAGAGGTGGGGAGGAGGGAGGGAGGCACCTCATGCTCCGTCTCCTCCCAATGCCACTTCTCTCCCATGCCACCAGCAGGCAAAATCATGGCCGCTGGAGCTGAAGCCTGGCTACTGTGCGGTGGCTCAGGGGGCTGGGGTGAGCCCCCACAAACAGTTGGATTCAGCTACGGCAGGGGCCGCGCCTCCCCAGCCCGGCAGCCAGCAGTTCATGGCCTGGCACTGGTCTGCAGAAAGGTGGTTGGGAACTGCTGGGTTAATCTATACTCTAGTGCTGGATGCAGCTATTTATTTTTGTAAATCAGAAGGATTCTTTCAAAAGAGGATACGTTTGCCCAGGCATCTTAACAGTAAAGATGCCTTTATCTTGCAAGGATCTTCTGATTTCATTAGAGTTTTTTTTAAAGCCATTAACTAGAAACTCTGCTAATTTTACTCTTTTTCAGCAAATCAGTAATGGTACAAATTCAGCTGTAACCCTGATATATTAGATTCTAAATTCCAGACTCTGTTTTCTGAGCAACTCTCAAGGCAGACTATTTTCTGGCAAGTGATGTAATCAATTGCACATTAGATAAAACAATCTCTTTACTGCACTTCGGTTATTCTTCAGTAACCATGTGAGCCTAAGTATGACAGAATTATTGCTAAGATATATAGTACTATAAAACTTGCATTAAAAGGAACTGTACTGATAAGTTACATTAAAAGTTGCTTTATAAGTTGCACAGTGCCAGTACAGCCTTAACATTTCCTCTATCTAGTTATTATGATTTATATCAGCTGAAAATGAATAGTTATTTTAAAAGCTATTTAACCTTTAAGACTGGATACCGAAGGAGGACTGACAGCATTAACTTCAGAAACTAAAATACATGTTAAACAAACAGTTATTTTACAAGCAAACAATTTTATATGTCATCTTAAATATTCACAGTAGTTTCAGGAAAGAAACATTAATTTCTTTAAAACTACTATCTATTTCTTGTTCAACCACTATTACTATGCGCAGTCGTAACTTGTTTTCCTTCCAGTACTTTTCAGGCAGGTTTTAATTTTGTTTTGTTTTTGTAGTCCACCATTCAGTTCAACTATCCCCTCAGTGATGGCTGAAGGATACCTTTTTCAAGGAGATGAGATTTCAGAGTTTTGTATACATTTAGTTGCTGTTCTGGCTGAAGCACCAACAGTTGTTTCAATAATTTGCTGGGATTTGGACCCCTGCCAATGCAATTTAAAGGAAATTGTTTTAATTAAATAAAAGCTCTAAACCTATCATACAGAAGTGATTACTTTCCTTTTTCTCCTACTTTATAAATACTGTATCTCCTTTTTTGGGGGGGGGGGGGGGGGGGGGGGAAAAGATCTCTCCAGAACTTGTGTCTGGAGAACATAATTAAAATCTGCTTTCTCCAATCATATTAGTTGTACAAAATGTTGTAGGAAGATGTTTTAACTAGATAAGCCACAAAAGTAATATGCATAATGGCTGATGCTGGTCACTGTGAGAATGTGACTGATACAAAAATTACTTGATTTGACTTCCTACCCTATAAGCTACAGGCCAAAAAATGAGCCAATATGAGTGTCCGAGTGATGCCTGATGCATGTCTTTTGACCACAAGGAAAGGATCTTGAAACAAGAAATGCAAGAACAGATGACGTTTCTGCTGCAACTCTCAGCCTAAACAGGTTAGAAAAACTTCAGATGGTGATTTTGTACATCAGTTATAGGAAAAACACAAATTTCTGATTATGGCCATCCTAGTAGTTTGGTAGAGCATGGTAGTTTGGTAGGGCATGTCTCGTGTGACTTTTCCCTAAACATACAGTTAAATCATGTTTCATTCAGTGGCTTTCAAATAACAAATCACAAAGATGCTTGGCTGTATTTGTTGAGAGCTGACATGATTTAGATGTTCCTTTTTCACAAGGATAGTTCTCAGCAGTGAAAAGCAGGCAGAAAAAAGCATTTCGCATGCTGTAATGCCTGAACCCTTGTAACAATACTTGAAGCCGATTTTGTCATGGCTCACCACTGAGACTAAGTACTTGGTAGGGAGGGGTTACTCACTGCAGACTGCTCTGATAAAGCCATTTTCTGCTGTTTTAAGATAAGTTGTTTCACTACCCAAATAAATGGGCACTGGGCTAGGCATGGTAGAGAACCAATAGGTTCATAAAGTTTCCCTAAGAGATCACTTTTCAATTCTAGAATTTAAAATAGACAATCAATCCCTTATTCTATTTTCAGGAAATCTCAAATGTAATTTAAAATATGTTAAAGGTATGTATGACAAAGGGTGACAGACGTATAAGCCTACACATTTTAACTTATAAACAAACACCCAACATACACATGCATTTTGGATATTGTGAGAATGGCCCTAAATTTGAAAGTCAATTTGCAAGCATCTTTAGAATGCTGTCACATAATACAACTGTTATTCTAAAAGCATCTCCTTCAAAGATGCCGTGGCTTTGGCAATGTTTCTAATAAGTGGGATGTCCTAGTTTCTTCTGTTTACCTAAACCCTATAGATTCTCCCCAAGCTGCATAGACTATAAAGGGAATGACAGCAGAGCTGCCACTGCTCCAATTACCACAATAAAAAACAGAATTTATAAGTGTTATTTCAGATTCATTTTTATATACAGTAGGGTATATTCTTCCTTTTTCCTTAAGTGGTAGTAAAAAAAAATGGATAGGATGATGTAACCTATCGCAAAAACCTCTATAGAAATATCGTGAGATTTAGCAATGGCTCCAATATTCAAGAGATCCCTCTGATTGAACATACCTCCAAAAACCAAGTTTAAAGCTAAGCTTTACTGTATCAACAGAACAGAAATACATGTAATGGAAGAAAGTTTGCTAGATCTCTATATTAACTAGGGCTGTCAATTAATGCATGGTAATGCCTGCAATTGACGCAGAGCACAATTAACGCATTTATTTTTTAAAACACATTAATTACAGGTGTTTTCACGGTGCTGCCCCTGTGAAATGCCACCACAGCATTTCAAAGGGGCAGCGCACGCGATTAATCGCAATTAATTTTTTTAACCAGTTGACAGCCCTAATATTAACTAGATATATTTATATATAAAAATACCTTATGAAACTGGTGATATACACATGTACAAAAGTTGCCATCAAATACTGACAATCAAAACGATCCATTATTCCACCATGGCCAGGAATAGTGTCTGCAAAATCCTGTAAGGAAAAAAAATGCGGTAGTATAAATATTCACATACAGTACCTCACTAACCTATTGTCTGTATTACAGCAGTGCCTAACTGAGACATGGGCTCCATCATGCTGTACCAACTCCGCTGACATGTTTCTAACACTCTCTGTCCTAAAGAATTCACCATCCAAAACAGGAAAAAAAACAATGGCAGGAGGGGAAAAAACAGAATAAAGAGGTGAATGAAAAGACTTGCCCAAGTACACACGTGAGGTCAGTGGCAGACTGGGGAATAAATTAGGCTAGATCAGAACCATCTGCCTCAACACATTGTCCCATTGTGTGATAAGCCTTCTAATCTCTAAGTATCATCTTTTAGAATCTTGCCTCCGGATGAACTGATTTAAATCACCAAAAAAAATCCCAATACCGATTTAAATCAAATTTCCTACTGATACTTCCTCATATACTTCTTCAAACAATAGTGTAAAACTGATCACTAAAACATGTTAATTTACAGCTCGGTACAACATTTTACATAATCTAAGAAGGGATACTTTGTTTATTTTTTTACATTACTATTTCTTAAATTAATAAAAATTAAGTTATCACTCACATACAACAGCACTTATATTTTATTAAATTAAATCTTAAATGTTACATAAATGTTTTCACATTTGGAATTACAGCAGTCTCCTGAACTGCTGGCTAGCAGCTGTCCTTCAACTCTTTTTAAATTTTCAAATTTTATTCACTCTAAAAGATAAGCCCTCAGAACACTAGCTGCACGGTGTCCTTAAAACTTCTACAACTAGCTCTCATCTTCCCCACTCCCACTGTCACTTTGATGCAGATCGAATTCCAAGTTACCAAAGAAGCTAAGGGTACGTCTAGACTACAGGGTTTTGTCGACAGAAGTTTTGTCGACAGATATTGTCGACAAAGCTTCTGTCGACAAAGAGCGTCTAGACTACATTCAGTTCTGTCGACAAAGCAAGCTGCTTTGTCGACAAAACCCTGTAGTCTAGACACACCCCTACATGCAATAACAACTTCTGTCGACAGAACTCTGTCGACAGAAGGCATTATGTCTCGTAAAATGAGGTTTACCAGCGTCGACAAAACTGCTGACGTTATGTCAACAGAACTCAGCGGTAGTGTAGATGCAGGTATAGTTTTGTCGACAAAAGTCCACTTTTGTCGACAAAACTCTGTAGTCTAAACACACCCTAAGACTGTCTGTGCTTAGCGTGCACTTAATTTTTGGAGTAAGCCCCATTGAAAACAATTACCATGATGTTCCAAAATGTATTGTTATATAAAATAAGAAAAAAAGACACTCAGTGGCAACTGGCAACTCTAGATTTCTCTTACTCCAGCTTTCTGTACTGTATACTTGTGTGATAGATTCTAAACCTAATTAACTAATTAAACAACACAAACTTTTTTTCTAGCAACATGCAATATAGCAAACAGCTTGGCAATTTACTTGTTAAATCACACTTATACTAAAAGGCATACAGAGAGTCTTGAAGAATGATGCATTGCAAAGTTGATCCACATGGTTCTTCAGACATATGCACATCATTTTCTCCCAATAAGTAATTTTCTTTATGATGTTTCATTCTTGCAGCTAGACCCTGCATCATCATCTTGCACTGCTTACAACTGACACATTTTCCTTTTTTTCTCAGGGAACAAATTTATTCAAAATATTCCCAGATAGGGACTCCTTCACACCCAGAAGCCAGGACAGTTTTTCTGCGGCAAAAGTGTGGGAAAATATCGGAAGCCGTATGTGTGCTGAATGTCTTTCCTTTCCCTTTCCAGTTCACTGTTCCTTTCTATGCTGCCTCTGTCATTTCCTATATATTGTGTCTCCATCTACAGACAACATCTTAACTCCTCCACTGAGCTTCGCCTAGACCCACCACCACAAAAGCATAGAACAAAGGCAATCCCATCCAGCTTATGTCTCTGTCTTTACACGTGTTTCTTAGCAGACTAAAAGAAACTGAAAGCCAAGAAAGCTGGTTGTTAGACTGGACAGACCTGAACATTAATCCATTCTTATGAGATCATATGTGTAAGTGTAGCATGTTTGTGATAAGATTGAATTGTAATCTATTTTTAAATGAAACATTTAGTATTTTATTGTTGATTTAAAAAAAATACAATTTAAATTTTTTAAAAATCTGGTTTTTTATTGTTTTTAAATCATTGATTTTTATCAACCCTGCCTTGTCAGTATAGGTTCAATTATGTCCTACAGTTGAATACATTTTTTCCCTTTTTTCTACTACGGTGGCAGCTGCTGACACATTTACCTTCTTTATTATATATTTTAAAAATATATGTCTGTCTATCCATGAGTTAGTTTGTTCAAGAACTCCTCCTAAACGATAAGACCTAGGACCACCAAATTTGGTATGCAGCTTCCTCTTATCATACATAATTTAAAGCAAGAAGTTTGATTGTTCCAGGACAATGGGATGTGCCTAGAATTTGACTCTCTCATAAAACAGAAAGGGAAGGGTCTGGCAGGAAGGACAGTTATATTGGAGTGGGGCAGGAAGGGGCCAGACATGGGAATCAGGACAGCTATAATCCCACTAAGCCAGGAGAGGGCAGGCATGGAGAAAGGGACAGCATCTACTATATATTTCAAAAATTTTGTCTGTTTGAGTGTCTGCTTGTCCAGTGTGTCTGGCTGTGCACACTGCAGCAGCCATGGACAGGCGCTTCTCACCTGGCTTTACGCTGGTGTGGTGAGAGGGCTGGGATAGTCCTCTCTCCCTAAGGCAGCCTGCATCCTGACCCCCTTATCCCTAGCCCCATCCATAACAATGATTTGAATGAAGAAAAACAAAAACTTATTTAAGTTAAGGACCTGAGCAACGCTGAATGAATCTTCAAGTTTAGCGTTAATGCATAATCACACAGGATTAGTGTTCCTTTTAAGCTGTGTGGCAGCAAAGTCAGTTAGCTCTGTGCAGGGAGCCCTGAGACTCTGACTGGGTGGGGCTGATTAATAACCTGTGAGGCTGTGCTGCCAGGCAGCTTAGAGGGAACACTGCACAGGATGCTTCCTGAATGTTAAAGTGGAAAAGGTATCCTGAGATCCAAGGGTCTACTACTGCTTATTTTACTTCTGCTTTGCAAATTCCCAATATGTTTCATTGATTTCCCAATGTCTTTAATTTAAAAAACTATTTTTCATTTCACAAAAGAAAATCTGAAATGCAAGCAAACTTTATTGGAGATATAATTTGAATGATATATTCTAGCAAATGTACGTCATCCATATAAATATTTGTGTGTAACACAATTTCTTATTTCATTATATAGACAAGTATAAAGAGGTAACTCACAAAAGAGGACTGACAAAGTTACCAACACATGTATATGAGGAAACCAGAAAGTGCTAAGATTTGCCACCATGGAAATCACAATGCATCTTCATAACATACGAAGTTTAAGAACTTTATTTTCCAACATATACTATGCAACAGATTTTTGTTTAAGAAGAATACTGTTTCAGAGGCTAAAGGTGGCTTGTTATCACATCATCCTGGTTTAATAGAACACAAGTGTCGTTAAATCAATATATTCTGAAATATCTAATTAAAATTGTAGGAACTGGCTCTATCAAAGTCTTCATAGTTTTTTTTTAATTCAAAAAATCTGTACGCACCTTGATTTTGAAAGCCCTTTTGAATCCACTAGCAAAAAAGCCTCCAAATGGCCCAATTAAAGATGCAAATGTTGACAATGCAATACTGTGCATCTGGAATGGGTACATATTTACTGTTTTCTGCAAAAGAAAAATTATTAGAAATACTATCCATAGATTTTAATTTTTTTACAATTATTCCAGATACTCAAGGCTAAAGCCAATATAACATTTCATCACGGAGGCCTTCAAATTAATTTACTAACAAAGAAATATATTTTAGTTCTGAGCCAGCATGATTCACACAAAATTTCCAACTTTTCTATTATAAAAAGATACTTACCCTCGTTGCAAAAGAAAAAGACAGTTACCTGTTTTGTAACTGGTATTTCTCAAGAAGTGTTGCTCATGTCCATTCCACATTAGGTGTGTGTGCTTTCCACATGCACTGGTGCCAGAAGTTTTTTCTTCAGCAGAATCAGTAGGGGAGCAGCTCTGATGACCCCTGGAGTAGCACCACCATGGCACAGTATGAGGAGTGCCGCACCCTTCCCCCCCACCTTAGTTCCTAACTGCAGGAAACTCTGACAGTGAGGAAGAAGGGAGGGCTGTGAAATAGACATGAGCAACACATCACAAAGAACACGTTACAAAAAGGTGTTTTCTTCTTTGAGCGACCATTCATGTCCATTCCACATTAGGTGACTCCACACTGTACCCACAGAGGTGAGTAGAAGTTCACAGTCGTGTAAATTGTAGTATGGCCCTGCCAAATCCAGCATCCTCTCTAACGTGCTCCTGCTCTAATAGGCTGTGAATGTGTGAAGAACTATCTAAAGAACTGCCTAGTAGAGGAGATCTACCTACAGTGCGTCAAAGCCAGCAGTTCTGATGCACAGTCACTATTGCCAAGAAGGAACTCAGGGTGGGAGGAGTGTGCAGAGACCCTTATACTGTGCCATGGTGGTGCCACTCCAGGAGTCACCAGAGCCATACCCCTATGGATGCTGCTAGTGGGAAAATTTCCAGCAACAGTGAATGCGGCGAGCATGCACACCTAATATGGAATGGGCATAAGCAATCACTCAGAAAAGAAAAACAAACATGTTATAAAACATATCAATACATATTTTACCTAACAAAGTGGTTCTCAAACTTTTTGGCTCATAGACCACCTGGCTCAATGCAAACCTTTTCGCAGACCACCAGTTGCTAGTAGAAACTCACCATTAATTACATAATTATATGTAAGCCATTTTGCTAGTGTTGCAACTAGGGAGAATGGTTTAATTTAAATTATTAAACAGATTGTTTTAACTTTCTCATGTTAGTTTATCAAACTTCATTTTAAATAAAGTAAAATATTAATTTTAGGGTCTGTCAATTGACCTGTGTTAACGTGTTAAAAGGTGTTAATCACAGGCTTTAATGCTGTGCTGCCCCTTTGAAGTGCCAATCTGGCACTTCAAAGGGGCAGTGCATTAGGAGCCGGGGATGAGCTGGAGTGCTAATGCGCTGCCCCTTTAAAGCGCCAAAACAGCACTTCAAAGGGGCAGCACAAGCGGAGCCAGGGATCAGCTGGTGTCCAAAGCGCCTTTGGAAATGTGCAATGTCATCTGAGATTGTTAAAAGCTGGAGGCATGAGAGCTTCCTCCGCTGAGGTGTATTCATTTGGATCTCTCTGCTTGAATGGGTGGGTCCTCCTCTTGTGTTTGTTTTGAAGGTGAAGGGGAATATGGCACTTTGTGCAGTTTCTGGCGATGGTGGTGCTTTTGATGAGATTGCCATTTATCCCAATATTGCCAATGCGGGTATGGTATAGGTGCCATAATATGAAGGCATATTCCCAAATTTATGGTAAGATCTAGAAGAGTAAATAGTCTAATCTGTGTAAGGAGAATTTTCTGAAGAAAACCCTTTAGAAAGGTCATCTTCAGATACGGATGAAAATCCTTCTTGAGAAAAAGATCTCTGTGATGTTAACATAGCAGGAGAATGATTGGGGTTTAGAAATGGTGAATTGAACATAGAGGAGATTAACAAATCTCGGTGCTTAATGTAGTGTTCAGCTGGTGTTGATGGTGCCGTAGTAGGGAGCACCGATGCGATTTGAGGCATTAGATTGTGCCTCCGTGCCTAGTTAATTAGCATCCCATTAGGCACTTTTCCAGTGGAGGCAAAGCTGCTGGGTGGTGACCTCACCTACCTAGGCGAAGTGCTCTTATGCTACGCCAGCAAGATCGTGTCGGTGCCGGATGCTGCTGCAGCTGATGAGGCAGGCAACTTAAAGCCTGACGCCTTAGAGAGGGACTTAGCACATGCTGCTTTGTTAGCTGCGCTGGCAGCTCCAGAGACGCCCAGAGCGTCATATGTGCTAAGACGCAGTGCTGCGGCTGTTTTTGGCACCGCCCGTAAGGCATTTTGATGCCATAACCTCCTGAGGTAAGGAGGAGGTTCGCCTTTTGGCGGGCTTTTGCCCCCATGCTGTTTCTGCTCCTCAGGCAGTTGACCCAGGTTGGAAGCTGGTCTGAGGGAATTTTCAAGTAGAATTAATTTGAGAGGCAAGTCTCTGTCCTTTTGCACACGCGATTTCAGCTTTGCACAACAAGGGCATTTGTGAAATACATGCTCCTCTCCGAGGCAGCAGATGCATTGTGAGTGCCCGTCTGAGACAGGGATAGGATTTGTGCACGAGGAACAGTGCTTAAAACCCGGTGAGCTAGGCATGGTGCTAAAATAAGTCAGTACAGGCAGTCCCCGGGTTACATGGATCCGACTTACATCGGATCCCTACTTACAAACGGGGTGAGGCAACCCCGCACTAGCTGCTTCCCCCCAGCAGACCAGGGAGACGCGAAGCTAGTGCCCCCCCCCCAGCAGACCAGGGAGACGCGGAGCAGCTTTTCTCAGCAGACACCTCAGCTTGAGAATAAAGGACTGAGGGAAGTGAGGTGTGGGAGAATAAAACTGAGCTCTGGAGAAATGTTTGGCTAGAGTTTCCCCTACAGTATGTACCAGTTCCGACTTACATACAAATTCAACTTAAGAACAAACCTACAGTCCCTATCTTGTACGTAACCCGGGGACTGCCTGTAACTGCAAGGGTTAACTGGGAGAAAGAAAACTTATTCTAATCTAATTATTTAAGTAAATTAATGTATTTATTTAAAGAACAAACTAACTAGCTAACTAATTAACTGTGGAGAAAAAGCTTGGTATTGAAGGGAATAGGTATCTAAATGCAAAGAGGCTAGAGAGCACTGCTATGGTCCGTCTGCAGCTGGAGGAGGTAGAGAAGGAACTGAAGGGGGAGGGGCTCACGCATGTGCAATGCCTGCACCTACAAGCGTGTGGCTCCAGGCACACTGATCTGAAATCTCCAATCTAGGGCTCGGTGGCAACACACTAACCAAGTGTGGAAAACCCATGGGGATATCTCTTGAAAAAGAATAATGTATTTTTCCCCTCTCATATTTTGCACTCCAACTTGTTATACTGTGTTCTATTGTATTCTGCATTATATATAGTTAATTGATTTCATGCGCACTTTTTTGTGGACCTTCTGGTCTGTCAGATAGGACATTTTTTTCTATTATTAGCAAGGAGCAGATTCCCCTACTCTACATACTGACATTCAAACCTCAAGACTAGGGTGATGGGGTGCTCTGTAGCAGCATAGTATCCTAGGGTATGTCTACACTACCCCCCTAGTTCGAACTTCCCGGGCTTCATTTGCATAAAACCGGCCGGCGCCATTTTTAAATGCCAGCTAGTTCCACGAGGTGTACAGCTAGTTCAGATTAGGAAGCCTAATCCGAACTAGCTAGTTCGTGCCGCGTGGCACGGGGTCCAAACTAGCCAGCATTTAAAAATGGTGTCGGACGGCTTCATGCAAATGAAGCCCGGGAAATTCAAATCCCGGGGCTTCATTTGCAACTGCGGCTGACTACATTACCCCCGCTAGTTCAAACTAGCGGGGTAGGGTAGACATACCCATAGAGGCTCTCTCCTGAAGTTGCCTAGTGATCACTATAAATCATGGCACCAAGTCCTTCAGAGAAGAGATGAGCTATTTAAATACCAGAGAATTCCTGATCTACTAATCTGTGTCTATACAGACTATGGCCTAGAATTCCTAAATTTCACATTCCCTGTTTGCATCATAGCCACCAGTCTCCTCGTCTGGAGGCTCAAGAGGACTGCTTCAAATGCAGAGGTTTTGGTCAAGACAAAACAATATCTAAGCATCAACCTGACAATGACAGGAAGTCCTCTGGATTTTGGCTCTTTTGGAAGTCCATTCTGCTGCAGAAGTGTGCAATTAACCACTGTGATAGTAAAAACAGTCTGGTGGCACCTTAAAGACTAACAATTTTATTAGGGCATAAGCTTTTGTGAGTTGCAATTCACTTTGTCAGATGCATGAAATAAAAGAAGAGATGGTACGGATGCAGCGAAAGGAGTGTTACATCAGAGCTAATCATATAGGGTATGTCTACACTAACCCCCTAGTTCGAACTAGGGGGGTAATGTATGCATACCGAACTTGCTAATGAAGCCCGGGATTTGAATTTCCCGGGCTTCATTAGCATAAAGCCGGCTCCGCCATTTTTAAAAGCCGGCTTGTTCGAACCCCGTGCCGCGCGGCTACACGCGGCACGGGCTAGATAGTTCGAACTATGTGATCAGGAGTGGTATTCTTAGCCTCTGTTTGTCAGAAAATGGGAATGGGCAAGAGGAGTTGGATCACTTAATGGTTACATGTTCTGTTCGCTCACTCTGGGGCACCTGGCATTGAACACTGTCAGAAGCCAGAATACTGGGCTAGATGGACTTTCAGTCTGATCCTGTATGGCCTGTTCTTACGGTCTTAAAACAGCTCACTCCAAAGCTGTAGGGAAGGAGATCACTAAGTCACACAATTACCAGTCAATAATTTTCCTTTATTTTTCCCTTTCCAAGCTCTTTCTCAAACAAAATGTGCCACATTTTTGTGAGTTTTAACTCTATACTTAAGGAAAGATTGACACTACAGCAGTTGCTCTTCCAGCATTTGATTTAGCAGGTCTGGTATGGACCCGCTAAATTGAATGCTGAGGGTGACCCCATCAGCACCAGTACTCCTCACTGTCCCATTTCTCTTGTCGACCTCCCGCTCGCTCTGAGGACGGAGCTGAAGCATGACTTCAGGTATGTCAACTCCAGCTACATTATTTATGTAGCTGAAACTGAATACCTTAAGCTGACCTTCAGTGGTAGCAAAGACCTGTCCTAAGAACCAGGCTTTAACTCTGAGTAAAACTTTGCATACAATCGCAAGACCAAATGGCTGACTGGCAGAAATAAAATTTTTGATATTTTGATTATAAAATCACGGTCTTCTATTTCCATGAGAGGTATAGCATGAAATGCAAGAGTGCAAGATTTCCCACATACGCGTTAATTCCATTCTGAAGTGACACTCTTCACCTTCCCCCCACCCATGGGTGACACAATCTCATCCTGCATATTCATTCAATCACTGCTCTTTGAGACAAACTGTGTCACATTTAGCAATATTTAATGTAGGCAAATAAAAATTCAACTTTAATCAAAGTTTTATTTTTCCTTACCCTTCCCAACACAGCCTGCAGCAATGGTGGTACAGAGTAGTTTTGTATCCTGAAGAGCTCTGATGGTTCACACTCTGTAACAAATCTATTGGTTTCGCTATTGTATTCCACTGGACATACAAAATACTGATGCTGAGCCAAGAGGTAGGCAAACTGAAAAGCAAATCAAGAGTTATGATATATTTATTCCTTTCTGAAGTCATACCTTACAGCACTAGGTTCAGAGTAGTTAACAGGTATAAAATGGTTCCAAGAGTGGACAGAACATCCGCTTTGAGATAGGCAACTCCTCAGTAATCAGGCTAAGGTGAACTTTCAGAACATTACTAATATCAGATTTTTGATCCCCTGAGATCGCACCAGCTGATTGTTTCCTTACAACTACTAATGCACCACGAAACACTAATAATGACTATGTGTTGTTTCTTATATGTTGATCACTTTTAAATAAAACCTTGAATTTTAAGGAAGAAACAAACCATAAAATTACTAAATGATCAACTAACACTAATTAACAAGATGCGCTTGCTAAGAGCAAGAGCAAAAAGTACCAGCTGCCGTCACCAAGTGGTAAGAAGGAAATGGGGGGGGGTTGGTGAGTCAACCAGATTATACATACAGCAGCGTTTCTCAACCTTTTTTTATAAAGTACCCCTTTTAAAAAAAAAATTGTAAGTACCCACTTTAAAAAAAAATTATAAGTACCCCCAGTACCTACAGTTTTTAGACACACAAATTTTCTACCATTGCAACATATTTGTTTAAACAACTTAATCGCCACTAGACGGGCGATGAAATATTTGGGTGTAAAAAGTACAAAAATAATAAAGCGCTGTAAAACTTAAAACAAATTCATCTCATAGAACTGGAAGGGACCTTGAGAGGTCATCAAGTCCAGTCCCCTGCCCTCACAGCAGGACCAAATACCATCCCTGACAGATTTGCCTAAATGGTCCCCTCAAGAATTTAACTCACAACCTTGGGTTTAGCAGGCCAATGCTCAAACCACTGAACTATCCCTCCCTTCAAAAACTCAGTTTTCTACAAATTTCAGTTGTATTGATGTGCCCCCCAGATTTCTCTTGTACCACTTGTTGAGAAACACTGATATAGACCAGTGCCAGCTCCAAGGAGCACTCGATGGTTGTTGCCAGGCAAAATACTTCCAGTATCCATGCATGTGGGTGCATACTCACCTGATCGGAATGCACACGAATAAGCACTCAAAGAAGAAATATGGCATTTTAAAAAATCAAACAAATTTAAATCACTGTCATTATGCTGACTGTGAATAAGGCCATTAATAGATTTGAATTACAAAATAAGTGTATATTTATTCTCACCAGAATTACAACATTCATATGGATATTAACTCTAACAAGAATAGGAAACAACATGTAATCTGACAGATATGGTTAGTAGAAAAGTAAAATCCCATTTAATCAATTAACAAGTTAAACATTATGTTTAACCAGTTAACTGCTTAAATGGGCGCAGGTGGGCTCGAGCGACCCCGTGCTCCTCTCCTCTTTCCCCCCCCCCCCCCCGGGGGCTGCTCTGGCTGAGCTAAGGTGCCCTCACCCACTAGAGTCTGCCACAGGTGTGGGCTGGGCCTGCAGCAGGCAGGAGTGCCCCCTGCCCGTGGAGGGCTCCAACCCTCACTGGTTAAGCATCACACAGTCAGGGGAATGCTTACTGGTTAACTGTTAACCATTCACATCCCTAATGGTTAGTTGAAAAAAGTTTAGCATTTCTCAATTATGTACTGTAGTTATGAAAGGATATATACTTTACAATTACTTGTCACTCGAATGAATTCTCTAAATAAGAGATCACCACTTCTACACAACAAAATAGCAGACTGACAACTGAAACAATGCTGCTGTCAAATTTAAGAATCACAAGTTAAGGGGAAAAATTAGAAGAGGAAAATCCTGAAGCTACTTACAATGAATCCAAATGCAACTGTGGAAAAGAAGCCTCCAATGAACCCTTCCCATGTCTTTTTAGGAGAAAGCTAATCACGAAAAGAGAAGGAGTTGATATAATCAGTGAATATTTTATACAATGAATCTTTTGTTGTATGCATACTTGCCAGAATTATACACTGAGGGCTTGGATTCCAAAGTATATATGCACTACTGAGTGCAAACATTTCTATGCAAATATGTACAAATATGCCCACACAGACAATCAAGTGAACATACACATCACAGTGACTCCTACAGTTAAGACTGCCCAACAATGACCCTGTTTTTAATTACTTACAATTTTGAAAAAAATTAAACCATTTGGGCTGAAATTTTCCATGGCAGATCTTTGCCTCAGGCTAATTTCTTTCTTTCCTTCTTTCTCTTTCTTTCTTTCATTTTGGTAAGCTTCACACAAAGTGGTTCAGCCATTTCCGAGAACAAGAGAGAGGGAAAATATATTGTTTTGCCCATCTCAAAATAATGTTTACAAGCTTCTGAGATGCTCTAATACCTTCATGTTTTGGAGCAGGAATTTGAAGTTTGACAAGTCACCTGGTATCAGGGCTGTGTCTTTAGCCATCCCAGTTGAAATCTGCCCAAGTTAAAAATCTCTGCAAAATCTGAGTGTTTACAATCTCAATAGAGATTTAAGAGATCATAGCAGCAAAATTATCTGAACAGTCAGTCTGTTGCCAATAAGCTAGGGATGTTAAATTGCAGGTAACTGACTAATCAAATAGTTGATGCATTTTGCCCTAGGGCTGTTGCTACACTTTAAAGGTGAAAGTGCTACATGGAGGCTGGGATCAGCTGCCACTTTGAAACACTGCCACAAGAGCCTGGAGTCAGGCTCCTCGCAGCATTTCAAAGAAGCAGCATTTCACAAGCCCTATCTTTACAGGTTTCGTTATAAAAATCCAGGAGGGGGTTAAATGATATATGCAAAATATTATTTTTAAAAAGCAATGATTTCATCTAATTAAATCACCATTTCCCTATAAAAAGGAGTTCCTGCAAATTCAGCTACATTAGAATGTCACCAAGCACAATTTCTGGAACCAGACTATCAACTAAAACAAACAAAACAAAAACACTGAAGAATTAAATAAAAATAAAAGCCTTTTTTTTTGGCAAATAGTAAAATACCAAAGATTAATTGCCAAGACAAAATGTCTATTTACAGATAAGTAACCTTCGCTTCTTTGAGTGATGGTCCCTATGTGCATTCCACATATGGGAAATTAATAAGCAATAATCAAACAAGAAGTGGGTGCAAGGCTTAAGATGGTATGGACATCTATAACCTTGCTGTTCCCACAGTTGTATCTGAGATCTCGAGCAATGTATAATGTTTTGTAAAGGTATAAAGAAAGCTCCAGGTAGTTACTATATATATACCTAGTAGAAATAAGTTTTGTATAGGTGCTGGGGCAAGGGAGAGGCAGAGATACATGCTAGGTGGTAAGAGATGATGAGCAGAGTGTGCAAATCATGCTTCACCCCTTGATTACTCTCCTAAGGTCATATATAGTTTAATTTTCCTAGCTGCTTTTTTTCTCTGCAAACAGAACACCATCAGACTTTTAAACGAGGGGTGGGAAACCTCAGGCCTGGCTTGCCTGGATCCAGCCCCTGAGGCTCGGGATTCCCCCCAGCATTAGAGAGCCCATGCTGGTGAGGGGTGGTTTTTTGTTTGTTTGTTTCTCACTTGTGTGCAGCCCCCAACTGATTTTTCTGTGGGTCAGCGGCCCTGACCCCAAAAAAGGTTCCCCACTTCTGTTCTAGACAGTGAAGCCTCCTCTCCTAGCCAGAAGCATGATGTTTTTGGTGAAAATAAAGTGGATGATTTATGTGAAACTCAGAAATTATTTATGGGATGAAATTTGGATAGAGGCAAAGAGGGGAAACAAAGTGTATGTGGCAACTCTGTTATGAGTGCTCTCAGCTTGCTCACCCTTTTGGTGGGTGTGATGGTGATTAGAAAGACTACTTTTATTGAGAAGTGGAACATGAAACAGGTGGCTATTCATTCAAAAGGAAGTACAGTAAGGACTATGGATGTTAAGCAGTGGTTAAGAAGCTCATCATGTAGTCGATAGAATTTCCATCTACTACTTGATTAGTCAATAAAAAGGTTAGCTCCCGGGGATGGCATGAGCCAGAACTGAGCAGTCCTGGCTCATGCCAGCTCCAGGACCAAATGCTTATCAGATAACCAACAGGCTAATCAACTAGTTGCTTCTTCCCCCTTGCTGCCTCTATCAGAAAGAGGCAGCAAGGGGAAGGAGAAGCAGGGGGTACTTCAAAGCAGCAGCACCGCGTGGAGCCTGGGGACAGACCCCGGGCTCCACATGGAGCTGCCGCTTTGAAATGCCATGTGCAGCCCAGGGCCAGTTGGGATGTCCCCAGGCTTCACACAGTGTTTCAAAGTGGCAGCACATCATGGAGCCCGGGATCAGCTGGGGACTCCCTCGCTAATCCCGGGCTCAGTGCTGCACCACCGCTTTGAAACGCCACATGGAGCCTGATGCCGGGCTACCCGCAGCATTTCAAAACAGCAGTGTTGCACAGAGCCTGGAGTCAGCTGGGGTCTCCCCTTCTGACCTCGGACTCTGTGCGGCATTGCCGCTTTGAAACGCCGCATGCAGCCTAACTCTGGGCTCCCCACGGCGTTTCAAAGTTGGAGTATGGAGCCCAGGGTCAGCAAAGTATGGAGCCCAAGGTCAGCAGGTATACCCTAGCTGACTCCGGGCTCTATGCTGCACTTCCACTTTGAAATGCTGTGTGCTGCCTGACACTGGGCTCCATACAGTGTTTCAAAGTGGCAGCGCTGCACGGAGCCCAGGATCAGCAGGTGAGAGCCGAGTTGATCCCGGGCTCCACACGGCGTTTTTGCCTTTGAAGTGTAACAACTTCAAAGGCGGAGATGCCCAATTGACTACAGGCAGTCCCCGGGTTACATGGATCCGACTTACATCGGATCCCTACTTACAAACGGGGTGAGGCAACCCCACACTAGCTGCTTCCCCCCAGGAGACCAGGGAGACGCGAAGCTAGTGCCCCCCCCAGCAGACCAGGGAGACGCGGAGCGGCTTTTCTCAGCAGACACCTCAGCTTGAGAATAAAGGACTGAGGGAAGTGAGGTGTGGGAGAATAAAACTGAGCTCTGGAGAAATGTTTGGCTAGAGTTTCCCCTACAATATGTACCAGTTCCGACTTACATACAAATTCAACTTAAGAACAAACCTACAGTCCCTATCTTGTACGTAACCCAGGGACTGCCTGTATTTGTTAGTCAATACTTGACATTTAACATCCCTAGTACAGACTTCATTTTAAAAAAGCATAACAGCTATACAATAAAATAAGCATTCAGTTTGGCAAAATATAATTGTATTCCATAAATAAGTTTTTGCATGAACTTTACAATGTTTGTGTGCAAACCAAAAAAGATTGTTACAATTCTACCATACTAGTAATTCTAGGACAGCAGTATCTTATTTACAGTAAATCAAAAGATACTACCAGGAAATAATTGTGCATGTCAATACCTTAATTAATGGAGTTCTCCCAAAGAAGAATCCAAAAATGTAAGCCGCAATATCATTGCAGATGACACTTGAGATTGGAACCAGAAACCTAAGGAATAAAATAGAAAGATTTCAGGGCGGGGGGGAGGGGGGGGGAAGTTGAGCTAAAACTGAAAGACCCACACTAGAATATTCATTGTTTAAGGCCAAAAATTGTAATTTACTCTTGTTTCATTCAGCAAGCATTGACAACATGCAATAAGTTTCTAGTTAAGCCAAGCTATTTGGTTTTGAAAATTCCAGAAGTTTAGCTACACTTATTTTAGTGTCTATTCAACAATGCAACCAAGACCTACCAGGTATTCAGATATAACACCTTTGATTTGGGTAATGAATTTGCACAACAGCAAGAGGGCTTTTTGTATCATAACAGATTTAAGTACTTATACTACAGGTAACAAAAACAGAAATAGTAACAAACATGATCACATCTCAAGCAACTTCTTCACTTAAAAAAAATCCAGACCACTATAATTTTTGAAAGGTCTGCTTTCCCTCCCCCAATAATACAATACTTGTAGTGGATTATGGCAGATTCTATATAATACATTCTCCAATAAGTTCTCTCCCTACTTTCTCCTGTAGTTCTGTTTTCCTTGTCTCCTTTGGAAAGTTAAAATATATATTGAGACAATAGTGGGCTTTTCTGCAGACAGACATGAAACATTATTATTTCAGTAGTAGCTAGAACTCAACCACAAAAGATTTTAGTGGGGTAGAGAAGGAATCAGGCTGAACTTTGATAGAATAATTTATTTTAAGTAATAGGCTTACTCTGAAAAATTATAAGTGTAGAGCTTGAAGGGACTTTAAGAAGTCGTCTACTCCAACCTCCTGCACTGCAGCAGAACCAAGTATACCTAGACAATTTCTAACAGGTGTCTGTCTAACCTGTTCTTAAAGAGCTCCAATTACAGGGATTTAAAAATGTCCTTTAGAACAGCAGTTCTCGACCACTGGGTACGGACGAGTGCTGGGTTGCAAACTGCTGGCTGCCAGGCCATGGCAGCTCTGGGGGCTGGGCTGGGGTACACTGGCCAGCGCCTCCTCTCCCGCCATGGCTGTTGGGAGAGGTGTGTCCTGCCATGCCTTTCAACCAACCACTGCCGGGCAGGGGTGGAGTCTCCACCTGGACATGGAAGAGCAGTTAGCTGCACGGCAGGAGGGCCACATGGTGCCCGGCACAGCAGCACTAAGCTGGCGGCTGCGAGGCAGCGCAGGGTGAGGTGAGGGAGATGGGACAAGCACTCTGAGTTCCAGGGGCAGGGCTAGTGCTGGGAAATCTTTACCTTGGCCTCTAGCAGACATTTCTCTGTGGGCCAAAATTTTTTATAAACTTACAGTGTAATAGAAGCCTTCGGATTTTCAAGAAAAATGTAGCTCCCAAAAGAGTCCATTATTCATTTCTTATCTTTTAACAAGTTATAAAAAGTGGTCCTTACAAGACTTCTGTCACAAAACTGTAAAATTGACTAAATGCTACTAGCAGGTAGTTGAAGATACCTGATAGTGTTTTACAAGACTTAAGGCACATGAACTGAAACATATAGATATGCAATAAAATTAGAAGTCTGCTTAGTCCAGTCCCCTTACCAGATCATGCCTTCAAACAGATTTTGGATGACAAGATGAGACTGAGTTACAGTGATCAGCAAAGTGACATGAGTCCATGCGAACTGTTAATAGTGCAACAACAATATTAGTGAAACACAGATCAATACATATAGTTAAAGACTGCATAGCTAAAGGAGCTACACAGGAGCTCAAGGAAAGACCAGGCTGAGTGACAATGCAAGAGATGTATGCGCACAGTGTATAACAATTTAAATTAATTTCTGAAACCCACCTATTACAAACATGAAAAACCTCTTGAAATTTATCTACAACATGCCCCTAACATGTTGTATCCTGTAGTTTAAACACTTGATTTACAGAAACACATTTGAAGGAGAATGAAACAAAGAACATGATACTGTGATATTTTATATATACATATAATAGACAATTAAGGATTACAACATTACAATGGCAATGAAGAGTTAGGGGAAGCACAGATATGGAAATCTCATGACAAAATGTCAGCCCTCGTTATATATTATTGAAACTAAGGTTTTAAGGCTAGGAACAGTAAGAATGAGAAATGTGTTATTTTTAGAATACTAGGTAGCTGCGCCCCTGCTCACTACGCTCATCAACACCCTCTCTCTGAAGGTAGGTGTAGGCCCGCGGGTGGAGGATGCAGCAGCAGGGCTGGGGGTGCAGGGTTTCAGTTGGAAGGGGTGTGAAAGTGGGCTGGAGGGCAGGGTCTCAGTAGGTTAGTGAGGGGGCTGGGGGTGCAAGGTTTTCGCAGGGTGCTAAGTGAGCAAGCCGGGGCCATGCTGGTGCTCTAGCCTACCCCCACCCACCACCCAAAACCCCGCATCCCTCCCACTCAGAACCCTGCTGAGCGGCAGGAAAAGCCTTCTTGGAGCACATCCCTGCACTGCTGTTCACCCAGCTGGGGTAGGGGGAAGGAAAGTGGCAGCACAAGGTGGGGGGGCCCTCCGGGCCTTCTCTCCTCCTGCCCTCACAGGAAGCTGGCACTGGCACCCACCATATGGGCTCTGTCTTGCCTCTTCAGCCCCCCAGCCGCTCCTTACTCCCTGCTTGTCTACACAGACTCATTAGGAGATTGCACAGACAAAGGGGCGTGGCAGGACAGAAGATAGGGTGGGCTCCAAGGGGAAATCCACAGCCCTGTTGCCCCAACTTTGGCAAAAGGAAGTATTGACACGAGCCTGTCCCTCCACTTCCTCCCTGGGAGGGTTCCTCTTCTTGGGCTTTTGTTTTGATTTTTCTTTGCACATGTCAAGTCTCCGCTGGGGCTCTTGTACCTTTCAAAGGAGGAATGAGGAACTCCGTCTGCAGCCCGGGGCCAGTGGGAAGTCCCGCTGACTCTGGGCTACACAAGGGCGCTTACCCTTTGAAATACACAAGAACCCCATAGCTCTTGTGCATTTCAAAGCAGAATCATTCGCGCGAAGCCCAGAGTCCGTGGGACTTCCCACTGGTCCCGGGCTGCACATGGCGTGCCAGCTTTCAAATATACAAGAGTTCCCAGGGGCTCCTGTGCATTTCAAAGTGGAAGTGTGATCATGGAACCTGAGGTCGGCTGGGAACTCCCCAGCTGACCAAGGACTCCACACGAAATTTCCGCAGAACCCAGGAACGCGTGCTTCAAAATGCCACCTGGAGCCTGGGATCAGCTGGGGAGTCCCCAGCTGACTCCGGGTTCCGCGGAAATGCCGCAGGAGTCCCGGGGTCAGCTAGGGAGTCCCCAGCTGACCTCGGGCTCCAAGCAGCACTGCCGTTTTAAATGCAGCACTCTGCGGCATTTCAAAGGGCCAGCGCCGCAGAGAGCCCAGGATCAGCTGTGTGGCACTGCTGCTTTGAAGTACTCTCTCTTTCCCCCCGTTTTAGAGGCAGCAAGGGGGGGGGGAGAATCGACTAGACAACTAGTCCTTAATATCCTTACTGCAGGCCCCAGAGGAGCAGCTGCTGCTCTGAATTCCTGGCAGTGACTTTGTGCTGGCCAGCAGCTCCAGCCCCGCGCTGCACACAGGGACTCCCGCAAGCTCTGGCTCCACAGCCACTGCCTCTTTTGAGACAACAATCCCCTCTCTTGTTCCTGCCCCCACCCCCATGAGCTGTTGCAGAAAAATCATGGAGGGGATCCTCAAGGAATCCATTTTGAAGCACTTGGAAGAAGGGAAAGTGATCAGGAATAGTCAACATGGATTCACCAAGGGCAAGTCATGCCTGACCAATCTGCAAGCTCTGGCTCCACAGCCACTGCCTCTTTTGAGACAACAATCCCCTCTCTTGTTCCTGCCCCCACCCCCATGAGCTGTTGCAGAAAAATCATGGAGGGGATCCTCAAGGAATCCATTTTGAAGCACTTGGAAGAAGGGAAAGTGATCAGGAATAGTCAACATGGATTCACCAAGGGCAAGTCATGCCTGACCAATCTGATTACTTCTGTGACGAGGAAACTGGCTCTGCAGACATGGGGAAGTCAGTGGATGTGATATACACCTTGACTTTAGCAAAGCTTTTAATACGGTCTACCAAAATATTCTTGCCGGCAAGTTAAGGAAGCATGGATTGGATACACAGACTCTGAGATGGATAGAAAGCTGGCTAGATTGTCGGGCCCAAAAGGTAGTGATCAACGGCTCGATTTCTGGTTGATGGTCGGTTTCAAGCAGAGTGCCCCAAGGATCAGTTCTAGGGTTGGTTTTGTTCAACATCTTCATTAATGACCTGAATGAGGGGATGGATTGCACCCTCACCAAGTTTGTGGATGACACTAAGCTAGACTGGCTAAGTAGCAGTTCAGCAGAAAAGGACCTGGGGATTACAGTGGATGAGAAGCTCGATATGAATCAACCGTGTGCCCTTGTAGCCAAGAAAGCTAATGGCATATTAGGATGCATTAGGAGAAGCACTGCCAGAAGATCTAGAAAAGTTATTATTCCCCTTTATTTTGCACTGGTGAGGCCACATGTAGAGTATTGTGTCCAGTTCTGAGCCCCCACTATAGAAAGGATGTGGACGCATTGTAGAGGGTCCAGAGGAGGGCAACCAAAATGATTAGGGGGCTGGAGCACATGACCTATGAGGAGAGGCTAAGGGATTTGGGCTTATTTAGTCTACGGAAGAGAAGAGTGAGGGGGGATTTGATAGCAGCCTTCAACTTCCTGAAGGGAGGTTCCAAAGAGGATGGAGGAGGCTGTTCTCAGTAGTGACAGATGTCAGAACAAGGAGCAACGGTCTCAAGTTACAGTGTGGGGAAGTCTAGGTTGGATATTAGGAAAAACTATTTCACTAGCAGGGTGGTGAAGTACTGGAATGGGTTACCTAGGGAATCTCAATCCCTAGAGGTTTTTAAGTCCCTGGCTGGGATGGTTTAGTTGGGGTTGGTCATGCTTTGGGCAGGGGGTTGGACTCAATAACTTCCTGAGGTCTCTTCCAGCCCTAGGATTCTAAGATTCTACGAGTGCTACAGTCCTTTTTTCTTACATGTCCAATTTATTCTATTCAGGTTCTAATACAGCCTTCATCATCAGAGCATCTGAGCATTTTCCAGAAGAGCATAAGCAATAAGACTATCATTTGTAACATGTTTTTCTTCCTGGGGTAAGTCATGTGAAATTGTAAGTATTGTCGAAAGAGTGCATTTTGCAGTTGGAATGAAAAGTGGTGAGGTCTGTGATGGTTCTTTGATCCCTGGGAATGTATTCCACATACTGGGACCATTCCTAGAGAAAGCTCTGTTTCCTGTACTTTACCCTTGCAGCTGATAGTTCTATTGTGCCAGAGAACCAGAGTTGCTGAGGGTACGTCTAGACTACATGCCTCTGACGCCAGAGGCATGTAGATTAGGCTACCAGACATAGGAAAATGAAGCAGCGATTTAAATAATCGCCGCTTCATTTAAATTTACATGGCTGCTGCGCTGAGCCGACAAACAGCTGATCAGCTGTTTGTCAGCTCAGCGCGATAGTCTGGACGCGATAGTCTGATGCGCGGGTGTCGACATCAAAGGTATTTGTCAACCACCCAGGTAAACCTCATCCCAGGAGGCATACCTGGGTGGTCGACAAATACCTTTGATGTCGACACCAGCGCGTCCAGACTATCGCGCCGAGCCGACAAACAGCTGATCAGCTGTTTATCGGCTCAACGCGGCAGCCATGTAAATTTAAATGAAGCGGCGATTATTTAAATCGCCGCTTCATTTTCCTATGTCTGGTAGCCTAATCTACATGCCTCTGGCGACAGAGGCATGTAGTCTAGACGTACCCTGGCTGTAGTCCTGGAACTTTTTGTAACTGTTTAAGGAGTACCCTGAAGATAAGGCAGGCTTTATAAAGCCTGTTTATAAGCTTCCCTGTCTGACATAGATGAAAAATAGATTATTTTCAAGAATGGTTTAACAGCTCTATGGAGATTGTTTGATTTTGTTTTCAAAATCAGCCTGTTAGACATACATTAAACATTAGAAGTTAGATTAACTTCTAATATTGTTTATTGTATGGCTGCCTTAGATACTCAGTGTAGATGAAAGAACACTGGTTCGTTTTTTTTTTTTTTAAGTGAGTGACTACTTAGTCTGGCAGAGCATACGCCCAGCACAATAATCTTCCAGACAGTGACTTAAGCTAAGTTTCCCTCCCTTTGACTAGACCAGATGCACACTGTTAAAGGCTTCTAGAGTTGCAGAAATCTCCTTCTATTATAATCCAAATATCTTGCAGCCTTAAGAACCAAGGATCAACATGTACTACTTCCATGTTTTACTTAGTAACCCATTTTTTATTTTAAAAATCTGTCACTGAAAGGGAATAACTCAAACTTCATATCAACAATGCACCCCCAAATTACAGCCTTGTATTCGCTTTGAGGCCATCTGTTCCAATACATATTAAGTCAGAGAAACAGAAAAATCCTTAATTCAACTCTCCCCCCAATATAGTCGCTCCACGCAATTACTAAGAGTGTACTAGCCAACTTTTTTTTTTTAAATCTATCATGCAAGACAAGACATTTTAACATTGCTGATGATTTCTATGACAAAGTGAGTAACTATAAAAAAGTGGTGAATACACACCATGTAAAACTGTAGACGATAATGTCTCTTCACTAAGCTCAGTACAAACATGCAGAAACCTGTAGAAAAAAAAGTGCAGGTTGTACAATCTTATATTCTAAATACACTGAACAAACAGAATGTTGATATATAACAATTAGTTTTCTTTGAAGAGGCTTATTCTTCCATCAGGTTTTAGTTCAAAGTATTTCATATATCTAGTAAATGATATGCTAAGCTTAATTCCACTGGCATAAAAATATTAGTTATTTCACATCCACTTTGTTACTCTCAGTCTCCATATACATTATTAATACATTATCTTTAAAATCTACTCCTCCAAAACAAGTGACAGGTATCTTATCTGGTGTTCACCTCACTGGAGCTAATTTAGATGAATGCCAAATTTTGGGTCCTTCGACCAAGAGACTTGGTGTTATGAAACACATTTTTTTAATTATTTACAGGATAGCCTCACCACCAACCAATGGCCAAGAAGTCAAGAGAATGGGGATTTGGCTTAATAGTCAGGGGAATGACATCCCTGTGGTCCTATCCGGTATGAGAAGTGGTGGTACCTCTTCCTCTCACTGTGGTAGCCTTGTGCATGAGCTGAGTTCAGGCCAGTGGCTCTCAAACTTTTTGGCCCGTGGCCTATAAGGCTCAATGCAAACATTTCCACAGACCACCAACTACTAATGAAAACTCGCTGTTAATTATATAATTACACCCAAGCCGTTTGCTAGTGCTGCAGCTAGGGAGAATGGTTTAACAAGTAAGAAAGGAAATATTAATCGAAATTATCAATCAAATTCAGCACTTTAACTTTTGCATGTTACTTTACCAAACTTCCTTTTAAATAAAGTAAAATATTAATTTTATGTCCAACACAAAAGGGTTCAACACTGTCTTTATTTAAGACAGGGGTGGGAATCCTTTTTTGTCTTAGGAACAACAGACCCACAAGAAAAAAAAATCAGTCAAGAACCACACAAATTATCAGAAAAAAACCTCCAAAACCCCCCAACCCTTACTGATGTGGCCCCCAAATGAGACAACTCACTCCCCTGGCTCTCCAGCCAAATGTTGGCGGTGGCAGGGACAGGAAAGACTGAGATTCAGGGCTTCTCATAGGCCAGATTTACTCTTCTGCGGTTAGTGGATTTTGTGGATCCCTGTAGGCACTGGGGTAAGGCCAAAAATGAAGAGTTAAGTGTGTGGGATAGAGCTGCCAGTAAGTGGGATAGGGGTGGGAGTACAGGATCTGGGTGTAAGGTAGGGTACAGGAAGGGGTGAGGGTGCAAGGTCTGGGTGGGAGGTAGGGTGCAAGAACAGGCTTGGAGTATGGTGTCTGGACACAGGAAGGGGACAGGAGCAAGGGAGGGTGCAGTGTGTGGCCAGGACAGCAAGAGCAAGGGACAGTGCAGGAGCAGACTGGGGGTAAAGTGTCTGGCTGGGGAGTAGGGTGCAGAAGCAGGCTTAGAGTAAAGTGTTTGACCAGAGGGGAGGGTGCAAGAGTGGGCTAGGGATGCGGGGCCTCAGCAGGAGGATCCATGAGGTGGGTGGGGGCATGGGATCTGGGCATGAGTGAAATGGGGGAAACTTACTTGCCTTTGTGCCCCCTCTGCTCCCAGCACTGTGTCCCAGGCACAGCCTCCTGCTGCTCCCATTGTCTGGATTGCAGCCAATGGGAGCAGTGGAAAAAACCTCCAAGCAGCGCATCCATGTGCTGCTGTTCCCCCAGCTGAGGGAGGGTGAGTGGCAGTGTGCAGAGCCACTTCTGGCTCTGCTTCTTCCCTGTGAAGAAGGTGGGACCCTGCAAGGCTGGAGTGCCAGTGCGGACTTCCCGCTACAGGAGGAGGGGGGGCGTTGAGCTCACCTGCAAGAAGTCCATGGACCCCAGTTTGAGAACCACTGGTGGAAGCAGAGCTCAGAGGCCCTTAGTTCCTCACAAGGGCATTTTAGTGGCCCGTGGGCCTCCATACAGCTCACAGCTTAAGAATACTAAAGAAACAAAGAAGTCACAACTGTCTCTCAAACTACTGAGTAACTAATGAGTGGGTCATAAGAACGGCCATACTGGCTCGGACCAAAGGTCCATTTAGCCCAGTATTCTGTCTGCCAACAGTTGCCAATACCAGATGCCCCAGAGGGAGGGATGGCAACAGGTAATCCTCACATGATCCCTCCCGTCACCCACTTCCAGAGAAACAGAGGCTAGGGATACCATTCCTACCCATCCTGGCTAACAGCCAGATGGACCTAACCTCCAAGAATCTATCTAGCTCTTTTCTGAACCCTGTTAAAGTTCTAGCCTTCAACGCATCCTCTGGAAAGGAGTTCCACAGGTTGACTGTACCCTGAGTGAAGAAAAACTTCCTTTTGTTTGTTTTAAACCTGCTGCCTATTAATTTCATTTGGTGACCCCTAGTTCTTATATTGTGGGAACTAGTAAATAACTTTTCCTTATTCACTTTTTCCATACCAGTTATGATTGTGGTACTTAAAGGAAATCTAACAGGCTAATGTGTAACACTATGCCAAATAAAATTTAGTGTTGACAAATGCAAGGTAATACAGAATCACAGGTCTGGAGGAGACCTCGATAGGTCATCTAATCCAGTCCCCTACATTCATGGCAGGAGTAAGTATTATCTAGGACCAGGGCTACTCAACTTGGAAGCCCCAGGGGCCACAATGACACTCACAGCACGTGCCGAGGACTGCAACTTAAGTGTGGTTGCATATACATGCAAATATACATGCAAATACCTTCTTTCACTCTGATGAGCATAAATACAAAGCATTTCCCACAATACCCCAGCACTTCCTCCCTGGGCGCTAGAAACGCTGACACTTTGTACCAGTCTGTTCCAGCCAGCCCATACGCTTGCATCTTTCACTGATCACCCCGCCTGGGAGACACCTCGCTGTTGTGGATCGACGCTCCTGGCACCTCTCTTCCCTGGAGGCTAGAAACACAGACACCTTGTACCCATCTGTTCCAGCCAGCCTGTCCGCTTGTGTCTTTCAATGCTCCTCCTACCAGCCTGTCCGCTTGTGTCTTTCAATGCTCATCCTACCTGGGAGACACCTCGCCATTGTGGAGCGCGTTCCCAGTGGAGGCCATGTTCAAAGGATCCCACCCACTGGCCACATGTTGAGCCCTGTATAAACCCAAACCGCATTGCGGGCCGCAAACTAATGGGCTACAGGCTGCATATTGAGTAGCCCTGATCTAGACCATGCCTGAGAGGTGATTGTCTAAACTGCTCTTAAAAATATCCAAGGACAGAGATTCCACAACCTCCCTAGGCAATTAATTCCAGTGGTTAACCACCTGACAGGTAGGAAGATTTTCCTAATGTCCAACCTAAAACTCCTGTTACAACATAAGCCCATTGCTCAGGTGCGGGCAAGATATGGTCCGCAGCCTGGATCCGGCCCGCCACGCCATTTGATTTGGTCCACAGCCCACCCTCCCACTCCACCATCCCAGGCCAATCAAGACCCAGATGCAAGGGAGTGCGCAAAGTCATTCGCTGTTCAAAGCAGCTGGTTGCGCTCTCTCTCTGGCAGGGCGCACGGCGCTTGGAGGGAGCCACCAGCTCTTTTGAATAGCAAATGACTTCACACATTCCCCTGTTCCTACTCCTGATTGGCCTGGGGATGGGAGACCATGTGAAGTCTCCTCCATCTGAGAGGGGCGTATGGTGCCAAGAGGAGACTGCCCCTTCTGCCCCGCTTTTTCCAGGGGAGCCCAGAGCCAGCCCGCAATCACTACCAAAATTTATGAAGTGTCCCCCGCAAAAAAATTATTGCCCACCCCTGCCATTGTTTCTTCTATTACATTGGAAGTAATAATATGAGCTACTTGTACGCCCTACTTTGTGTAAATGCTCTGAAAGGGCTCTTCTTGTGGGCAGGTTATTCCATACGTGCCAATCTGGGGGTTTCTTCCATGTTTCTCAGACACATCTAGTACTAGGTCAGGCAGACCACTGGAGTCCATTATTGCAATTTCTATGCTCTTGACAGCAAAATTTGAAGACAATGGCATTCCACAAGGAACTGTGCCACCAGAACTAAGTTAAAAATTCTGGTGATATGTAACAGAACCTTAGCTTCAGACCCAATACTAGGTGTCTCATAAGTGTTCTTTAACCAAACAATTTATGTCCTTAAAGAACCATAACACACATTCCCTTCACACGGTTTCAACTATCACTATGGCTCCACAGTATTTAGCCAAACTAAAAAGTATAAGGCATGCAAATAATATGGATGTATAGTTTTCTTTAAACAAGGGGGAAAGGAAGTAATGGAATGTGAGGAAAGCTAAGAAATCAAATGAATTTTTGAAATGCAAACAAATATGTAAAATATGCACATCAGGAATTTTAGTGAGTAATTGACCGGAGTATCAACTACTTACTCCCCCGCCCCTCACACACACACTTTGCTGCCTCTATGAGAGGAAACAAGGGGAGGGCGGTTCCCCCCAGCACCGTCTCGGCAGTGCTGCTCTGCCCCCCTCTGCCGCTGCAAATGGTCAATATGATTAGCCAGATAACCACATTTTAACATCCTTACACAACACCACTGAATAAGAATTAGCAATTGAAATTAGTAATTGTTTATCAAACTCACCTGTCAAGTATAGTGTAAAAGATATAAACCTGTGGTAGCGAATTAGGAACTGAAGTTGCTCTCTTCTCTGAACAAACGTAGCAAAGTAATCTGCCACTGTCTCTCCATAGAAAAAATAGTTCACACACAACAAAAAATACCTATAACATATAAAGTTTTGGTTATTTTTACTGGACTATTAAAATATACCTCTTCTACTGTTAGATTCTTTCAACAAAAGAAAAATTTTCAAAGTGCAAACTGAGGTAAATAAAAACAAAATTTCAATACTTAAAAGCTAAAAGTGGAAAAAAGCATTCAAAAAACAAAACAAACCACCATAGCTTTTTCACCTTTATTTCAGTGTAATTAAACACGTTTTAGCTACAATTTGGAGCAGGACACTAAGCAGTAGAATACAGGCTGTACCTCCCTAAACTGGGATATTTTGCTGTGTCAACATCTGTGGTCCATCAGCACCACGGATGTTACTGGACCACAGGGCCTTGGGACAAGAAGGTCTGGAGGCAAGGCAGGGAGCATGGCAGGGGGCCATGGAGCCGGCCACTCAGCTGGGAGCCCCATAGCAGTGGGCTGGGCGAGGCAGCGGAGAGCTCCAGCCCCAGTGACAGTGGAGTCAGCAGCATCCATGGAGCTCCAGCCCCAGTGGCCGTGGAGCTTCAGCAGCCTGGGAGCTTAGGTCCTCACAGCAGGAGGGCCAACAGCACCCGTGATGCTTCGGCCCTGGCGGCAGCGGAGCTGGAGACGGCCAGGGAGCTCTAGCATGGAGAAATCCTGGCTGGGCAGTGGCAGGGGGGAGGGGGAGCCTGGTCCGGAGCCCAGCAGCAACAAAGCCAGAGCCCAAGGGCAGAGGAGACAGGCATGGGCCAGAAGCAGCTGGAATGAGGGTGTGGTGGGGTGGGGAGTGGGAGGCCAATGACAAGGGACCTCCCCTGGTCCAGTAAATCCCCTCATTCGGGGCTTGTCAGATCCTGAGGGTGCTAGACCAGGGAGGTCCAACTAGTATTTTCATTTGGAGATCTGAGTGCTTCATTACACACACACAGTCTCATGCACAATCTCTCAAATACTTTATATTTTATGGCCAAGAAATCGCAATATTGATAACTGGCACAGTTTCCTTATCAGTTAAGGCAAAGAAAAAAAATGTCCCAGATGCTGTTTAGCAGATATAGTTTGCTAACATTTTTCACATTGCTTTTCAAAGACAACTTGTCAGCTCAGAAAACAAATAAAAAGGAAGTTACTTGTAAGATTAGTTCTCTAAAACAAACCAGTTTGAACCTATGGAAAAAATTAGCAGGCCTTGATTCTTATAGTATAAACAGATAATTTCTAAGCAGTTGGAGTTTGAGAGTGTCTACATTTTGAGCTGTAGGTGCAATTTCCAGCTCTGATGTAATGGTGGTTCTTTCTGGCTTTAAACTCTACACTTTTGAGCTGAAGGTATAAATTCCAATTTGAGGAAATGCAGTAAACATATATTATGACAGAAAAAACGTCTTCCCTGTCCATTCCTCTCGTACCTTCTTGCCTAGTTTTCTCAGACACTACCCTACTCAGAAACACATACAGATTCATTTCCAAGAACTAATTAAGATGGTGTACAACTAACATTTTGACTTAACCTTAAAGCCCTAACATATTCACCAGTGGATAGGGTTGCCAAATGATTTCAACAAAAATACTGGACACACTTGACATTACATCACAATCTACATTACATTTTATCATTTATATTTTCTCATTTACATTTTCTCAATTTGTTTCCTGAACATAAAGCTCAAATACTGGACTGTCCAGACACCTGGCAACCCTACCAGTGGAATGTTGGTGTATAATGTGTGATTCTGTGAAGATACTAGCTACCATGTCACCAATCTCTTCTGCCCCTACAATTCAACTGTGGGATAGAAAGAGATGAGTTACTCAGCTTTTTGTAACTTATTCTTCAAGAAGTGTTGCTCATAATTCCAGTTAGGTACATGTGTGCTGCATGCATAACTGTTATAAATTTTTCCCTAGCAACTATGGATATGTCTGCACTAGCCCCCTAGTTCGAACTAGGGAGGCTAATGTAGGCATTCGAAGTTGCAAATGAAGCCTGGGATTTAAATTTATTTATTTGCTTTATTTGCATCTTCCCGTCCGGGCGCCATTTTTAAATCCCTTTATTCCGAACTAACTGCCCACGGCTACATGCGGCAGTCAAACGTTAACTCGAACTAAGTCCTTAGTTCAAGTTAACTGTTACACCTCATTCCACGAGGTGTAACAGTTAATTCGAACTAAGGACTTAGTTCGAGTTAACGTTTGACTGCCGCGTGTAGCCGCGGGCAGTTAGTTCGGAATAAGGGGATTTTAAAATGACGCCTGGATGGGAAGATGCAAATAAAGTCTGGGATATTTAAATCCCGGGCTTCATTTGCAACTTTGAATGCCTACATTAGCCTCTCTAGTTCGAACTAGGGTGCTAGTGTAGACATACCGTACCTGTCAGGTCAGTTGTGGAGCCCCCTGGAATGGCACCAGCATGGCACTTCATATATGATTCTGCCAACCTGACTCCCCTTTAGTTCCTTCTTATGGCCACTCTGACAGAGGCAAAGATGGGGAGGATGGGGGGGGGAGTAAGGGATGTTAGATATTAACTGAATAATTATGTAACCACATCAAACCTTAGCGATTACACAATTATGTGATAGTCCCTAGAGGCATGGTTGGCAGCCAGTACGGTCCTGGACCCACTCCTGAGGAGCCTGCTATGACCCCATACTGCTGCCTCTGTATCTGATACAGAGGCAGCAGCACAGAATGGCAGCAGCCTCTGTCTGCAGGGGGCTGAGGCAAAAAATAAATTGCCTGCCCCTTTAAGGGCAGCCATTTTGAACTCTGTTCTCTGCAGCACACCTCTGACTGCCTCACAGCACACCAGTATGCCAGAGAACACAGTTTAAGAAACACTGGGCTAGATAGTAGCACGTACAAGAGGAGATCCAAGAGGAAATGCATCGTAAAGAGACTGGGAGCCCTTTCCAGCATTCCATCACTGCCACAAACAACTGCGTTGATATCCTAAAACGCTTCATGCACTCAATGTAGAAGATGAGTGCTCTTCTGATGTCCAGGAAATGCAGCCTTTGTTCGTGTGGGCTGTTGTGAGACTTGGAGAAAAGACAGGCAGGAAAATGTTCTGACTGGGCTGGAAGTGGCAAGGGGTTTTATTTGAACTTTGTCTTTATGGAAGATGGTGCAAGGCAGCTCTAATGTCAGGGACTGCAGTTCTGACACATGTCAAACTGAGGTGATAGCCACCAGAAATGCCACTTTCCAAAACAGGTATAGAAATGAGTAAGTCACTAGGGACTCAAAGGGGAGCCCCTGAGGTGGAAGAGGACAGGTTAAGGTCCTACATCCGGACGGGTTGTCTGGGGACAGGGAGTAGCCTTTCCAGGCTTTTAAAGAGGTGCCCAACAATGGGGCTAGCGAACACTCAACACTCTTCTGGGTAGAAAGCCAAAATGGCCACAAAATGGATCTTGAGTGATGATGTCACAGGACCCTTCTGCTTCAAGCACATAAGATACTCCAGGATGCAAGGAATGGAGGCCTGAATAGGGTCCACCTGTTGTTAAGCACACCAGCATGAGAATTTTTTCCATTTTGCCAAGTACGTAGCTCTGGTGGATGGTTTATGGTCTGAACAGGTGACCTTCTCTGAATTTAACCACAAAGCCTCCGGGCTGTGACATGGAGGAACTGCAGGTCTGGATAATGGAGACAATCCTGGTCCTGCATGATGAGGTCAGGGAGAAGTGGCAACTATGCTGACTGCTGGACTAATAGGTCTGTGAGGCTGGAGTGCCAGTGCTAAGGGCCAAGCTGTGACTACCAGTATGATGTCCACTTTGTCCCTGCGGATTTTGAGAAGCACTTTGTATACCAGAGAGAAGAGTGGAAAAGCATACAGGAGGGGCCCACACCACTGGAGCATGAACACATCTGCGATCGAGCATGGGTTATAGTTCCTGAAAGAGTGGAATGCTGGACATTTTCTGTTGGCCCATGTGGTAAACAAGTTGATTTGGGGAAATAACTCACTTCAGGTTGGAGTGACCATTCATGGGTGAAGAATTATCTGCTCAGCCCATCAGCTAGCTCATTCTAAACCCCTGGAAGACAGGAAGCCTCCAGGAGAATGAAGTGGGCTATAAAGAACTCCCACAGCTGGAGAGCTTCCTGAATGAGTGGGGATGAGGGAGCTCCACCTTTTTTGTCGATACAGAACATGGTGGTTGTATTGTCCATCATCACCGCTACACCACGCCTGAGAGGCACAGTAGAAAAGCTTGGCATGCAAATAAAATTGCTCTGAACTCTCTGACGTTGATGTGGAGTGATCTCCCCTCTGTTTCCCATAAGTCCTGAGTGGTCAGATCTCCAAGATGTGCCTCCCCAACCGAAAGTGGATGCATCTGTGACCAGAGCAGGTTCTGGTGGATGGAAGGTAACTCCTATGTGCACTTGTAAACGGGTCCTTCAGTGCGCCCTGTTAGCGCCTAACCACACACCCCCTTTCCCCGTGTTCCCTTCACCCTTTCGGGTGCCCTCCAGCATCCGAGTCTGTCTTGACCGAGGCTCGCAGGGCCTTCCCTTGTTTGCGGATTTCACTGGCCCCCGAGCCAGAGCCGACTTCGCCCCGACTGCAGGGAGAGGTGGGTCCAGGCCTGCCCCCTCTCATAGACCCCAGCCCAGAGCCCTAAGGACACGAACGCTTCTACCGTCCGGTCCGGCGGACAGGGTGTCCGCCGTAACTTGCCAGCCCACGGGCTCCCTTTGCCCGCCCTGGGCTACTTCCTCTCTCCACGGTCCAATATCCCATTGCAGTTGTGCTCACCTCCTCACCATGGGTCTCATCCGTCGTTAGTCCTCGATGAGGGGCCGTGCTCTCCGAACTCCCCGCTTCCCCGGCAGCTCCCGGGGTTTAAATCCCTGCGCCGGCTCCCGTCCTGTGGGGTCCTGCCCCTTCCCGCTTGGCCCCACTTCCGGTCCATTGGCAAGGCCGTGGTCCGGCGTCGTTCCCCTCACGTCGGCCCCCGACCTCCAGGAGGTACGTGGGTGTCCTGCTGGGGCTGCCGCG